GCCCAACAAGCACCTGTTGCGTCGGTACTTATACGGAAGGCCCTGTATATATGTCAGTTTGGAACTAAAATTAATTCATAGAACTCTGAAATATATTTCTATTTTTGAATCGTTTGTAAGTATTTAACATGAATTCTGGATATGTGAAAGCAGATTTAGCTAATTTAAAAACTTACACAAACATCAAATAAGACTTAACTGTTAGAACAAAAATACAAACCACTGAAGTAATTAAGACCTTCTGCACACGGAGCTTCTCTTAATCGGCTCGTATTAGATGCGACATACGGGAGGTGTACGATTTTGTGCTGCTCCCTTGGGTTTCAATTATTAACTGTACACGGGGCGTCAGCGGCGCGGATTCGACAAAGCATACAAGCTACTATATGCAGGGCGTACAGCAGTGTCAGTCGCTTTCAGTACGCTTAGCTGAGAAGAGCACGCTTTCCTCAAGTTTTTTTGTGTAAAATGGCTGATGAAACTATAAAAGCTATAGCCTATTATTTTTGTAAGATATAGGGATGCACCCAAAATTTCCAACGTTTCTTATTTTTCTTCCGATTCCGAAGATAAAGTAACAAAAGTAGATCCTCTTGATCACTTGACATCTTCACAGTGCAAATACAAAGTTCACACTTCACGAATAATGAAATATAAAAATCTACGTAACTATTTGCGACGAATCTTGTACGCGTCTGTGAAAATTACGCATTACGAGAAAAAATCAAATTATTTAAAAATATTTGGCGCCGTTTTAACAATGTGTAGTTATTCTATAGGATGAATTTAGGCGGGATATATCAAAAATGGTTGTTCAATCTCAATTTTCTTCTAATGCTTAATCAAAAGGATAAATCAATATTTTCTTGTTAAAATAAACACCACATTATTGTTTCACCATAAATAAGATTGAAAATTCCGATGCGTTGTTATAGTCCATTAACAAAATAACATATATCTATGTCTTTATTACTTAAGATATAAATATGCTGTTCATCGTCTGATTTGTATATGGATGAGCAATCTATACATATAATTATTATATAACATTGGATTACACCCTTCTACCACACGAGCGCCATTCTGCTCTCTTTCTGAAATCTTATTTATAGCTTTCAGGTGAAATCCTTTTGAGGTTGTTCTCCTTTTCTCTACACTTCATAAGTATTATTTACAAAATCGACCGTTTTTTAATTTCTACCCCTTTCCAACTTGTCACTATGACATATTGACAAACCCACTCACTGAACTCAACTTTGTCATAATTTAATAAAAAATTGTAAATGCCCAGGCATTGTTGGCCAAAACTGACCAATTTTTTGTGTTACATTTTCGCAATGCTATTGTTTGAATTACATAAATAATTATTGTAATCTTCGAATTATATCAAAAACATTTCTCTGTCAATAACTTAATAATCTTAGTTACAACGTTCTTACAGTTTAACGCTGGATACGAACGGCTAAATTATAGATTATGAACGAATGTAGGTATTCTCATTGGTTTATGGTACAATGAGCGTCTTTAAACCGTTATGCTACTGAATAGAAAATAAATGTTATGTATTTAATTATAGGTGACTACTATTATTAAAAATGTTAAAACATAATTGTGTGGATCACATTTTATGAAATCTGTACATTTGGAATTTGCTCGATTGTACAACTGGCTCTAAAAATAAAGACGGAGGAACTAGTTTGATTAAAAACAATTAATAAATATCAAATTTAAACTTTCAAAATATGGTCTTTCAAAAATAAATCTTCCTTCAATTAAATACGTAGCTTTTTTAAAAACAATTCCATAACATTCGAACACCTCCAATCTTCATATTCTAACAAACAGGAAATTTAAAACTACAGACTAGACATTTCTTATAAAATATAGACAAATAATATATGAAAAAATAAAATCTCAAAATAAACGATAAGTAATTAAATATTTAAATATAATATACAACGGTTTTGTGCCATGTAACTATGATATTAACTTTATACAATATTTTTATTCAACAAAATAGACCATGATCAAATTTGACAGTCCGTCATTTACGCTTATCGTACTAGAATGCTTTAATTTGTCAGTAAATATTGAATTTTGTCTATAACAACGGTATCGTAAACCAGGCCTGTATTCAAGATTACGTTTGCCCAGCCTTTGTAGAATACATCCTTTTTCAATATGACAATAGTAAAAATTGGTCTGCTAGATCACCTTACTGACCAATCTCATTAAACGGTAATGTCAATTTTGGACATAGTTCGAACTAGTTGCATAGCACGAAACAACCTTTAAAGGCTAAGTTTTGCTTCTTTATTTGACCAGAAAGTGTTTGTTTCTCTTTCAACGAAAATTAGTAAAAAGCGTACACGCAAAATTATATACAAAATTTTCATAAATATAAAACTGTGAATATTATTTTCAGATCCCTATTGATACGACTCTTTTTCACAATAATAATTATTAACTGTATAGAAATATATTTTCGAATATAATTAAAATAATACAATGCGCTTTTTATACACAAAAAAAATAACAAGTTTCTGAATTAAACAACACCGCATTTAAAAAAATGATTATAGACACTACAGTTTAAATTATTAACTTATAATAGGTATATAAATATACAGTGTTGATAATATCAAACTTTCGGTCCTGCTTTATTTGCGACAGAATATAGAATAAATAATAAATGGCGTTCGTACATGCAGAAAAAGAACCGACACAGTATGCAATGTTGCAATTTACAGCAGGAGTCATGGGTATGTCGCGGCTACGAACCGTTAAATGGCAACGACGTTACTGCATTCGTTTCTCTCCTGTACTAGCGAACGGCAGTTACTATTCAGTTCAACACACGCAAAGCAGAACCGAAGGTTTGATCTTGCCAGCACTGTATGGAACGTACGTTGTTGATATATAAAACTATTGCACAAATAGAAAACATTCAACAATATTATTTGTTTAAAAACAAAAATGTATTTTCAGAGAAAAACCTTCAAATCTGTACTCTTAAAATAAATAACGATAAATATGTTATTAATATTATTTGTTAACAAGTCATGTTGCACAAGAGAATATTAAAATATGAAAAATATCTTGAAACTAAGCATTCAATATTTTTTTACTTTTATTCAATACATTTGATGTAAAATAGTTCTTTTTAAATATTATGCATGAGTATTACAAGATATACCTACTTACAAGCAATTTTTTTTTTAAATAATACTGTATGATAAAAAAATTAATTTAAATTCAGAACCTAACCAATATAATAAGTAAAAAATCATGTTGTGCAACACAAACATTACAAAAAAAAACTTTCCACAAGAAAAACAAGAAAAATATGATTCTTGGATAGCGATAAATATTTTTATAAAAAAATGACCTACCTCTTAAGGAGAAACCCAGTCTTTTCTTATTTCAGTTATTCCTATGTATACGAAAATCCCCAAAGATTGTCAAACAAAAAAAAAACGGATATTGCACATAATTTGCGAACAGATATTGGGCGTCTTCGATTAAAGCTCCGCCTACGATGACTACGCTCCAGTAGCTCAGCCCTATACAGATCCGCCTAGGTTAATAACTCCGCCTTCGATAATAATTCCATCTTAAAGCATAGCCTGTCGAGAAGTTTCAAACTGAATAAGACGTTAGTAGAAGGTTGCAGATGTTTATTTTAATATGGCACTGTTGTTCATGTATAGGTATTATACAACACATTATCTTTCCAATCACAAACACAATGCCATTAAACCATTGATATAAAATAAACAGGAGATGCTATGTCCACACCTTTGCATTACCCTTTTACGTCATGTGTCAAACACGAGCTAAAAAGTTTTGGTGAGAATAAATGCCATTTTTTAAAAATAGCTTCATTGATATAAAAGCATTTTCATACCGTCAATCTTCAAATAAATCTAAGTACGCCTTTAAGTCGCCATTTTGATTACAGTTTTCCGTCAGTCTTGGCAACGCTAAGTGTGTCCATCTGTCATATCGCAAAATAGTGTTTGTGTCGTCTCTATTTCATTCTATCTCGATGCAATGAATAGACAGAAATAGAATAAGTCGCCAAGTGTGGACCACAATATTCCATGATTGCCACCAAAACGACGTAGTTAAACCAATTACTTCCCTTTATCCATCTACCGTCCAAATATAAATAAGCGTTTCATCTTTTTTTGCTTGATGCGTCGGTTAACGTACTGTATATGTGTGTGGTATTGTTATTAATTTTAGTACCTACGACTGCTTTGTTATCAAGAATTGTATTCTTTCGACAATAAAGCTTTTTGAATTGAATTAAACAAATATCTGAGATGTACCTAATAAAGCAATTTGCACGTTTTTAAATAAAAATTAGTAAAATTGATGAAGATATGAGCATATTTGAGTAAGTATGAATTCCAACGGTTTTGTTGTAGAATGTTGGCCACTAAGTGTAAATTGGTCCTGAAGCAAAAAGTTAAGTAGTTAATTGTCAGAATTAAATGATAGATTAGTTGAAAGAAGACATTATTTGTCCTTGTCCACCACAACTTTTTCAGGTATTTTGTGAGACAAACTATATAAATAGTCTCTAAGCCCCTTTTTAAGGATGGAGTGATCTGATCTCTTAGTACCACAGATAAGAATGTTTAAAGTCATAATCTCGTAGATATATAGTGATTTATCATGACACAGTCGCCCAATACCTACCCCCAAGACTCTTCGGACTGATAAAATTTCAACATAAATAAAATTACTATTTTAAAGATTCCACAATACACGAATCCAAACCATCTGTCACCACAATTATTGAAATTTATCTCAAGGCATGGGGACATTTCGATTTCAATGGCTTAGATCGATTACAATTTTAACTAGGTATCTAAAAATTTGGCACATTCCTCCGAAACATCCAACGGCGAATGTAAATCGGATAACAAATTTAAAACTATCAGGAGCTCTTTAGAGTCACGCAAAACCTTTATTGGACATGTGGGGGGCGTTTAGCTGGGGCTCTCCGACATTTCCTGATCGTTCTTCGATATCGACAGATTGTCCATGGCTATGGCTTGACCGGGTGATGGACTGTCCACGTTTCTGAAGTTGTTAAAGCTGGGAGAATCGGCGCTGGATAAGGATTCGGGGGTGCCGATCGAACTCAACGATCCCGGTAGCGAGGTACCTGAAATGGTTATGTTAACATAATCTGTATTGTTGGGTAAGAACCCATATCGTGTGTAATTTTATCAAATGAAAGCTGAGCAGATTGTTGTGCCTAAATATATTATCACTTACCCGTTGTTGTTAGAAGACCGCCTCTGTCGGTACTTCCAGAATAACTGTAAACTCTTTTAGCTCTTGGACAACTGAGATAGTCGAGCTTCTCATCATCTAATTTTCTTTTAACACCTAAAGGACTAGGACGCAGCACTGGACTTGCGCTTCTTCTAACGATCGTCCTGGATCTAACAAAAATATAAATATATAAAATCCACACTGGACTATTGTACTTGTGTATATTTCACTACCTTGTAGGACTCTGGAAGCCCATCCTAGTCGGAGAAGGCGAGTTAGACATGAAATTGCTTCCGCCGCCTCCCGGCAAATTCAATTGCAACGGGGCCGTTTTATTACTTTTCGTCGATTCATTGCTGTCGTTCATTAGACTGAGGTCCTCCCAAGACTGCGAAATTTGCATGGCATGGTGGATTTCCCTTTCATGGGCCAACTCTCGCGTGTTGCTGATACCCTCATGTTCTTCTTGCCTCAGTTGGTTGATGCGTGGTGTCAGGTGCGGCCCCAATATCTAAATTTTAGTCAACGATTACTGAACAGCCGATTAAAAAAAGTCATATACAAAGTGCTGATGGTGATAGAATCAAAATTTAATTTTGGCGCTATTCCTACTATAAGAAACAGTGTTTGTGCACTTTTTTGATATTCAACAAGTATCAATTTAAAAGGGATGATAATAATCATTGAATAGCTTTAATTGAACAAATACATTGTTTCACATAATGGATTTTAACCGACAAAGAGTTAATTTTCTAATAAAGGTAATAATTGTTTTATATTTATGTATTCCAGATTTTTTACTTGAAAAAGTAAAAAAATACAATCTATGTAACAATAGATTATTTACATGTTGGTCGGAGCAGTAGTCACCTTGTTTTTAACCCTTTCACTGTTTATGACGTCAAAAAACAATTGCAAACCTAGTGATTCTTAGATATCTGGTACGGGTGCTTAATAGCTATTTGTGAATTTAGAGTGGAAAGTGCTACTGTGCCGCTTAAAATAAAGTTTCCTCTATGATCACACGATATTACTGAATTTAAATTTTACTACAGCATTTATTTGACAGGCACCACTAACTTGAGCAGCGAAACGTGTGTTGTGTTGCCTACTTACGTGCAGATTGAAACCTTAATTTATGATTTTATTTAGTGTATCTCGAAAATACTTCAAAGATCGATTAGAATACTCTAATCGCAAATTGTTGACACATCCACTGTTTTATGTTTTACTAGGTCTTTTCCTTTGCATCAAAAGTGTAGCACTGAGCTACACCACTTCTGAAAATATCGTTCCATCCATACAATTTGTATAAATGGAACGATATTTTCAGAAGCAGTGTAGCTCAGTGCTACACTTTCGATGCAAAAGAAAAGACCTAATATTTATAACTAGAAATTTAATATTAATACAAAATTATAAAAAAAACTTTCCCCAGTGAGGTTTGAACTCACGACTTTCAGATTTTAGGAAACTAACGTGCTGAGATATCTCGAGTTTACAGGTTGAAAATGTGGTAATTTATTATAATATTTCAATTATCGCTTACATATTAAGGAAAATGAGTTTTAATATTAGATGTTCTCAACAGCCCACTGTATTTGACTACACAATCAATGGTAAACTTTTAGAGATCTCTTCAGTTATAAGTAAATCTATGAAAATATTAGGATTTATTGAAAGAACGACCCGCAGCTTCCCTGATATAAATGTTATTAAAACTCTTTATTGTACTTTAGTAAAGAGTCACCTCGATTATTGCTCTTCTATATGGTCCCCACATCACGTATAAATTAAAAATGGATCATGTTCAGTGTTCAGAACAATTTCCTTAGGTAGATAGCCTTTTAATTACAAACCTTTTATGATTATCCTACAATGGAACAGTTTTTAAAAATACCCTCTCTGGAAACCAGAAGAAAACAGAGATCTGATTTTACTTTTTAATATTGTTAATGGAAGATATGATTGTCCTAAAATTCTATCGAAAATTAATTTATATTCCTTTTTATAGACTTGATAGTACTTTTAACAGTTGTATTCCTCGTACACTTAAACTGGCAAATGCACTGAATAATATTATAATATTTGAGTGTTCTGTAAATAGATTTAAGCACAACATTCAAAATATAGCAATGTAATTTTTAACAATTTATTGTAACTTATGGGCTTGCCCGTAAATAAATAAAATAATCAGATTAGTCTACACATTTTGTTTTAAAATATCGATTAGCTTTAATAATCTTTCTTTTATTTATGGAAAATGAAAATAAGCAAGCGCCAAAGTAACTTTGATATGATACATTTTTTTTTTTCAATCATACAATTTTATACAATATATAAATTACAGGGTAGGAGGATCTGTTTCCAGTGGCGGGCAATTTTAATGTTTTACAAAGGTATACGATAAATATGCATTATAATTTAATACAAAAATTATTTACAAATTTTTCAATAGAAGTGAGGTCAGTAACTGTTGGTCCATCTCCACATCACCTCTGAGGCATTAGCGTAGCGCGTTACAATTTTTTCTATTGGTTTGCCAGTGACCATGTGTTAAGACCAGAGATAACAGGAGATGTAACTACTAACAAATATCGTGCAGTCCTGAATAAGACATATTCTAAGGGACACAGGAGGATATAATATCCGCTGTTGTCATATGCCAATTGCATTATTCTCGTTTTGTTTACAAAATTATTTAAATATATGTAATAATGATTTTATTTTCTATACAAATTTAATAAGTTTAATTTTACAAAACACTCGGTATTTAAACGCACGAAATATTTGTCTCCCAACCTATGTTTATGTTAACACTATTAACATACGGAGGTACCGGATTACGAATATGGGAACTAAGGGTAAAATATCAAGCAGGCATAAAATACAGATTATTTTCAATTTGGGTTAGTTGTTTTGCGGAACAAAATTAAAGTTCGTTCCAATAATAATAATAAACTAGTGAACAATTATAATTTTTGTGAGTGGCTGTTTGCTGAACAGAGTGAGTTTTTCTCACGGAGTAATTATGTTTTATCAATTAGTTTTGTTTTAATTTGTAATCAAGTTATTTTGCAAATTATATTACCCAATTATTATCTATCAACATTTTATAGTTAATTTGTCAATTCTGACGTAAAGATATTTTGTTCTAAATTTTACCTTTCAATTTAAAGTTATTATATCGTTTATTGAATTAATTTCTAGTTTTTCCTGACATTGATTAAATAACTAAATATTACCGCCCAAGTTTATAATAGATATTGATAAATTACAAATATCGTCCTATTGTATTTATCAGAAGTGGGATAACCATCTCGTTCGGAAGTGGAATTACCATTTCCTTCAGAGGATGGATAACACTCTCCTTCAGAGAAGGGATGATTTTATGTTCTCCTATATTTTCTAAACACCTATTATAATATTTAACACAAGGTGAAATACGTATAGCTAGGCCTATGAGATGACATACTAACAAAGTTCAAAGTTTAAGGTTTTTTTTATTTATTTATAAAATGATCACGTATATACAAAACGCAATATCCTTGAGTTCTCAACGCCGTAATAAAAAAGCACAATTCAAAATCAAAACACAGACAATTATTTACAAGATCTTTAAACAAAACTTCTCCTTACCAAAAATCAGATAATAAAACATGCTGCAAATGCAATAAACCTGGAGACACTGCTAACGTTTGCCAAAATTCTAATAAGAAAAGGTGCAATTTTTGTCAACGTAATGCTCACTTAGAGGTAGAATGTTTTCCTAAGAAAAAGACACAGAAAACAAAACCAACCATCTAACTAGTAATCGAAACATCAAATCAAAAGTTTTATAAAAGGATTCAGATTGATGACATTTCATCTTCAGCTTACGTTAATTTGGGCAGTTCATGTAGTACCATTCGTATATCCGAGGTTATGGTAATGGAAGGGTATCTACACTAGGAACTGTAAATTTTACAATCACTGTAGATGAAGTTCAAGAAGCAATTACCGCCCATGTGATACCCAATTCAGCTCAAGATGTCCCAATTTTATTAGGAAGAAACTTCACTGAGAGACCTAGTATATTGGTAATTAAAGATGACGCGTCATTACAGTTTTTCAAACAATTACAAGAGCTACAATTACTTTCTACAAAAGCCACCCAAGGAAAGTCAAAAGTTATCTTACGCATTACTGAAAATTTTACAGTGTTGCCAAACCATTGGGCAAATGTACCCATGTATAGCGACGGATTTGAAGGAGACGTATTTATCGAAGCCAGCTTCAGGTCTCCAGAAAATAACGACTATTTTATCCCCAATTCCATATCACTTAAGAAAAATGTATGCTCAGTAATGCCATGTATCAACGTGGCAGACAGAAATATTAGTTTAAAAAGGCACAATTTTTGCAAGAGCATGGCCCTACGTCAAAGAAGAAGAATCTAAGGAGAAAATAATGTCCATTGACCAAACAGAAATATCACCATTACCGTTAGAAGATGTGCAGATCGGCCCAATCGACGAGGCACAAAAACTTCAACTGTTTAACCTTTTAACTTAATTCCGAGATTTTTTTGCTCTGGATACCAGTGAACTTGGTTATTCAAGATCAGCAACCATGAAAATTACATTAAACGAGGACAAACCTTTTATATACATACAGAATGTCAAAATCAGAACAGAACGTAGTCAAAGAAATTGTAGACGACCTGCTGCTAAACAAAATAGTACAAGAATCAGACTCACAATATGCTTCCCCTGTTTTACTGGTCAAGAAGAAAAATGGAAAACAAAGGCTTTGTGTTGACTACCGAAAATTAAACTCTTTAACTGTAAAAGATAATCATCCTTTGCCTCAAATAGATGATCAAATAAACAAATTACAAAATGGAAATTATTTTATAAGTCTAGACCTTAGACAAGGACATAACCAAGTGCCAATTAAAGAGTCATCAAAACAATATACTGCTTTCGTAACTGCTGAAGGTCAGTACGAATATACCAAAGTACTATTTGGTCTATCCAATGCGCCAAGAGTATTCCAAAGACTGATGACCAAAATCATAAAACCTATCAGAGAAAAATCTGCATTATACTTACATGATGTTTTTTGTTTGGTAAAACAATAGAAGAAACTCTGAATGTTTTTAGAGAAGCGTTAGAAATTTTTAGAAAAGAGGGTCTGACACTAAATTTAAAGAAGTGTAGTTTCTTTAAAACATCTGTAACTTATCTTGGTTTGAGATAGAACAAGGAACAGTTAAACCTGGTAGCGATAAAATTAAAGCTGTTGAAAACTTTCCAACTCCAAAATCGATTCACAACTTTCACCAATTTATGAGGCCAATAGGTTATTTCTGGCATTTTGGGAAAGACTATGCCATTTTAACAAGACCTTTGACAAATTTAACCAAAAAGTCAGTAAGTTGGAAATGGGGTGATACACAAGAGGATGCATTTACAAAACTCAAAGAAATCTTAGTCTTAAACTTATTTGATCCGGATGCAAAAAAAAATA